TCTGGACATTTCATATAAATGGAATCATCAATCTGTAACCTTCTGTGTCTGGCTTCTTTCACTTAATGTTGTCAAAGTTCATTCATGTTGTAGCATGTATCAATATTTCATTCCTTTTTTTGGCCAAATAATATTCTATTGTATGGATATACCACATTTTGTTTATCCATTCATCAATTGATGAACATTTAGGTTGTTTCTACTTTTTGGCTATTATAAAAAATGCTGCTATGAAAATTCGTGCACAATTTTGTGTAGCTATATATTTTCATTTCTCTTGGGTATGTGCAGAGAATCGTATTGTTACTCTATGTTTAACCTTTTCAGAAATTACTAGACTGTTTCTCATAGTGGTGAAACTATTATACATTTCCACCAGCACTGTCTGAGAGTTTCAATTTCTCCATATTCTCACCAGCGCTTTTTATTGTCTGACTTTCTGATTGTAGCCATCCTAGTGGGTGTGAAATTCAATTTTTTTATGAGTTTTTGCATGGTATATCTTTTTCTATGCTTGTACTTTTCTTTACTTTGCCTATATCATTATATTTGAAGTGAGTCTCTTGTAGCCAGTATATGGTTGGGTCATGTTTTTTATCCATTCTAACAATCTCTATACTTTAGTTGGTGTGTTTAGAACATTTACATTTAATGTAATTATTGTTATGTTTGGATGTAGGTCTCCCATTTTATGATTTATTTTCTCTTTGTTACCTCTATTTTTCGTTTTTTCCTTTCTTCTTTCCCACTTCTTTTAGTTTATTTGAACATTTTTTAGAATTCCGTTTTAATGAGATGTATCTGTTTGTATATGTGTCTTTGTATGGCTTTTTTATTGGTTGCTGTTTGGATTAGAATATACATACTTTTCACAGTCTACTTAAAATCAGTGTTTTCTGTTTCAAGTGGCATGTGGAAAACCTTAACCACATGTACATTTTTTATCTTCCTCCCTTTATATTGTAGTTGTCCTAAATATTACCTTTATGCACATTGAAAATCCTATCACATAATGCTGTAATTTTTCCTTTCAAACATCAAACATATTTTAAACAACTCAGTAGGAGAATAATAGTTAATTGTGTTCACCCAGATATTTATTTTTGTTGTTCTTGCTTCATTTCTGATCTTCCTTTTTTCTTTTTCGTATTGTTTCCCTTCTGTCTAAAGAACTTTCTTTAGGAATTATTTTAGAAAGGATTCCTGGCAAGAAATTTTCTGAGTATTCCTTCATCTGAGAATGTCTTTATTTTACCTTTGTTCCTGAGGGATGTTTTTGCTGAATATAGAATTCTTAATTAACTATTGTTTTCTTTCAGTACTTTAAAAATGCTATGTCATTTCTTTCTGACCTCCATGGTTTCTGATGAGAAATTTGCAGTCATTTGAATTGTTGTGTTTCTATAAGTAATGCATCAGTTTTCTGGGTGCTTTCAAGATTTTTTTCTTTGTCCTTTAGTTTTTTTTTTTTTGTGAGGAAGATTAGCCCTGAGCTAACATCCACTGCCAATCCTCCTCTTGCTGTTGAGGAAGACTGGCCCTGAGCTAACATCTGTGCCCTTCTTCCTCTACTTTATATGTGGACGCCTGCCACAGTGTGTCTTGACATGTGGTGCCATGTCTGCACCCGAGATCCAAACTGGCGAAGCCCGGGCCACCGAAGTGGAACCTGTGAACTTAACTGCGTGCCACCAGGCTGACCCCTGTCCTTTAGTTTTTAGCAGTTGGCTTATGATGTGCTGAGATTTCTTTGTGCTTATTCTTTTTGGGGTTCAATGACGTTTTTGAATCTGAGAACTTATGTTGTTTGCCAAATTGGGATGTTTTCAGCCCTTATTTCTTTAAAATTTTTTTTTTCTATATCTCACTCTTCTTTCCTTTTGGGAATCTGTAAATATGTTAGACCTTTCTGTATGGTCCCATAGTTCCGTGAGGCTCTGTTCATTTTTGTCTAATTATTTTTCTCTCTTGATCAGATTTGATAATTTCTATTGATGTAGCTTCAAGTTCAGTGACTTTTCTGTCATTTCCATTCTGCTGTTGAGTCCCCATATTGCAGTTGGCGATAGTCTCTTAAGACTCTTTTAAGTTCTCCCTACACCTTTTCTTTATTTAACTTTGTCATGTATTTGTTGTAGAAGGTAGTTTATTAGTCCCAAATGATTTTCCACAGTGTGGATTTTCTAATTGAAAATTAAATAATCTGATCTCTATAGTATCATTTAACATGTTTTCTGTTCCCTGCATTTTCTGTAGGTTGGAAGTTAGATCTAGAATAAGGGTCAGCAAACTGCAGTTTGTGGGTCAAATCTGGGCTTTCCTTGTTTTATAAATATTTCTTGGAATACATCACACTTATTCATTTACATGTTATTTGTGGCTGCTTATGTGCTGCAGTGGTAGAGCTGAGTAGTTGTGACAAACTGTATGGCTGGCAAATCCTAAGATATTTATGCTCTATTCCTTTAAAGAAAAAGGTTTGCTGACTTCTGATCCAGAGATTTTTATCGGATTCAGTTTTCTTTTAAGAAGTAAACTTAATAGGTAGTGCTGTAAATTTGCCTATGTGGCACGTAGTGTTTTGTTGTCTGTGTTTTTGTGATGTTAACAGCCATTGCTTATATTTAGTACTTTTTCAGTGATCACCTACATTTTTGATAAATATTTCTTTTTGCTGGGCATGTAATTTTAGTTTGGCGTTTTCCTTTCATTGTCCTTTGGCTTCCATTCTTTGTGACTTATTGTCGGTTATCAATCTGTTGTTGGTCTTTGAAGGTAATCTGTCCCCATGTACCCCTCGACCCCTCTCCTACTCCTTGGATTTCTTTGAAATTTTCTGTTTTTCGTTTTCATCAGATATATTATAGTATAGTATACTGGTTTTCTTTGTTTTTGTCATGCCTTGGGTTTGTAGTGCTTCTTGAATCTGTGACTTGGGCTCCTTTGTCACTATTACAAAATTCGAAGCCATATGTCATTTCCTCTTCTGTCCCATTCTCATTTCCTCTTCTTCTAAGATTCTTATTATATATATGTTAGATCTTATACTCTGTGTCGTATTATGTTCTTTCCTGTTTTTAATTTCCATCCTTTTGTAATTTCCTGTTTAACAGGAGCATTTTCTTCTAATCTTTCTTCCAAGTCACTAAATTTTTTTCCTGTGTCTAATTTGCTATCAAGTCTACCCTTCAGTTTCTTTTTCTCTTTTTTGCTGAAGAAGATTAGCCCTGAGTTAACTCTGTTGCTGATCCTCCTGTGTTTTTGTTTGAGGAAGATTAGTCCTGAGCTAACACCTGTGCCAGTTTTTCTCCACTTTATGTGTGGATCACTGCCACATCATGGCTGACAAGTGGTGTAGGTCTGCGCCCGAGATCTGAACCTGCAAACCCGGACTGCTGAAGTGGAGTGCACCAAACTTAACCACTATGCCATGGGGCTGGCCCCCTACCCTTAAGCTTCTTAATTTTTGCATTTTTCATTTATGTTATTCGTTTGGTTCTTTGTTACAGTTTTCACTTTCCTGTCAGAATTCTCCCAATTGTTATTTATTCAGTTATTTTAAAATCTGTGTTTGATCATTGTTTTATTTGGTTCTCCTGTGGGTCTTTTTCTAGTGTCAGTTTTTTCCCCTTGGTTTGGCCATTTATTATGTCCTTGAATATCTGCTTACTTTTCACTGAGTGCCAGAAATTGAATGTGAAAAATGTTGGAGATAGTTTGAGGCTTTGGATGATTGTTTTAGAAACCTAGAACATTTATAAATGGTTTTTATAAGTTCCACTGGAAGAATAAAGAGGCATGGGAGAAGAGGGAACTGGTAAGAGTAAATTAATAGAATCATCTTGGGTTCTAGGTCTGATAGAGAAGGAATTGAGGAAAACTGGGAGAAAATGAAGATCTCAAAGAGTATGGAGTAAGACAACTAAAAGAGTGTTGGTTGGCATCAAAAAAGGGGTAATAGATCGTATGATTAAAATATAAAAATAATCAAAGGGAGCAAAATGCTCTTTAGAAAAGAATTGGTGTGTTACTTGAGTTTGGATTAGGAATCAGTCCCTTAGGTTTGAAAAGTCTAGACAAGTCTTAATGGATGGTGTGGGAGTAGGTTAAGTTTTGAAGGAAGTAACCATTTAGTAAGTGGTGAAGAGCAGAAAGAGAATTTCAGGCTACACTGTGCTTTGGGACTTCTTTATTTCTTTTGAATTTCCTTTGAAGTTACCTTTAGCCTGACTAGTCTAAATGTTCAACATAGTTAGGAGGTGGGAGTGAAGAACAGAAGCCATCATGCTTTTGCCACAGATTCCATACACCCTGAATGGATTCATATGGCTGGTAAATAGCTGAGACTACAGCTTTACTTTCAAACTCTTCAGTTCAATGAGCTTTCTTTAACTCTGGGAATATTAATACCTGCCCAACACTTTTCACACGTTTTTTAAAAGATCTATTGGAATGTATGAAATATTTCAAAAAATATTTCGTAAGTGCTGTATAAATGTAAGGTGGTTAATAATCACATGGCTAGTGGAGAATTGCATAATTTATAATTACACTGAAGGAAAACTGTTTAAATCAAGAATTTATTACATATGATTTAATGTATTCATATAACTTAATTGTGTTAAGTAAAATTTATGACAGATTTATGTGTGAATTAGAGCATATTAACATCAGAAGTTAATACTACATTTTTCTACTTGAGGGGAGAAATATACATATATTCTCATTATCTTTGAGAAAATGAATTTCCTTTTGGAAAAGAAATCAAATATTATAAAAGCAAATGAATTGTCACATTATATAAACTTAAACTTTTAGTTTCTACTTAGATTCTACAATAAAATTTAAACATTATAGATTATTGGATAGTGTATCTCACTTGATCTATTGCAAAAATAAATGAAACAGTCCCCGTCCTAAAGGGCTATTATAATTCATAGGCAAAACGTTATACTAAAACTTTTTAAAACTAAAGTATAAAATTATTTCTCTGTCTCTAGGCAAAACTTGGTTTCTCTAATATTACTGGAATTGATTACTCTCCTTCTGCAATACAGCTTTCTGGAAGTATTATAGAAAAAGAAGGTTTATCTAACATTAAGTTGAAGGTAACTATTATTTATATTACTATAACTTTTATGTGTAATAAAAGTTATAAAGTTTAAATGTTTCTAGGTGTATTAATTTGCTGACATCTTTTGAAGTCATATGAATGAGGAATCAATCAATAATCCAAATTGAAACATTTTTAAATAACTGTTTAAAATTTTGTCTCGTCAGCTTGTGGAAGTTATTTTCTCTTCTTCCTTGAGTAGAAGTGTGTTCATTCTTTCTCTCCTTTGCTAACATATGCATGTAATTCGTAATTTTGGATTAACTAGATTAAAAAGTTGTGGGGGCCGGCCCAGTGGTGCAGCGGTTAAGTTTGCACGTTCTGCTTCGGCGGGCCAGGCTTCACCGGTTTGGATCCTGGGTGCGGACATGGCACCGCTTGTCAAGCCATGCTGTGGCAGGCATCCCACGTATAAAGTAGAGGAAGATGGGCACGGATGTTAGCTCAGGGCCAGTCTTCCTCAGCAAAAAGAGGAGGATTGGTGGCACATGTTAGCTCAGGGCCAAAGAAAACAGTTGTTAATGCATAGAGGAGTATAATGCCACCAAAGATACTTAGTTATCTTTGTGTCCTGTGATCTGTGAGAAGGTGCCTCCTACATTTATATTTCTAACCCAGGCCTCTTCTCTGAGCTCTAGAATTATATAAAACCTATGTATTCTACGGTTCCACTTGGATAGCTAATAGTCTGTCAATTCATCCAAAAGGAAACTCTTGGTTTCCTCCTTACTCCTGCTTTTCCATCTCTATTGATGATACCACCATTCATCTGTTGCACTAACCCAATCCAAAGAGTGATCTTTTTGTCTTCTTTCCTTTAAATCCTATATCCAATTCTGTTGTTTTTATCATCAGAGTATATCAGAAATGTGATCATTCCTTGGTATTTCCACTGCTACCTCCCATGTCCCAGCCACCATCATTACTTGCCTAACTGACTACCATGACTTCTTATTTGCGCTCCCATCTCCAGTCTTGCCACCCCACTGTCTATTATCACAGCACAACCGAGTGATCTTTTGGAACGTAAATCAGCTCGTGTCACTTCCTTGCTCACAAGCCTCCAGGGGCTTCCCCATTGCGTCAGAATAGACTCTGAACCCCTACCTAGCTTTACAAAGCCCCTTACTTCTTACCTCTTTCCCTCTTTATCACCAGTATGCCAGTCATACTGGCTTTCTTTCTGCTTGAGAAACATGTCTAGCCTGTCTTTCTGTGTTTATACCTGCTACTCTCTTCCTAGAATATTCTCTGCCCAAATCTTAGCTTGTTTGACTCATTCTCATCGTTCAGATCTCTGCTCAGATATCACCTTCTTAGGAGAGGCCTTTTCTGACTGCCTTTTCTAAAACATTTCTCTTCCCAGTCACTCAATGTCTTCGTTATTCTGTTTTCATTTTCTTCATAGCACTTTCTCTGAAATTATTTGGTTAGCTTATTTATTGTTTGTTTCTCCCTTTAGAGAATATAGGGTATATTCTCATACAGGGACCTTTCTGTTTTGTTTACTGTTGTATTCCCAGGGCCTGAAAAGTCCCTGCATAGAATAGGTGTCCACGAAATATTTGTTAAATAAATGAATACTTTTACACAGGCATTTAGGATAGGAAGCTTCTCCAAAGTTAGCTCTTAAGAGCAGTAGTCATTATTTTGCTTCAGGGATAGTGAATACTTGGATGAGAGGGAGGGGAAAAAACCATCTTCAAATATAAATAAGCATGAACTCCACATTTTTTTATTTTGGAGGAAGATTGGCCTTGAGCTAACATCTGTTGCCAGTCTTCCTCTTTTTGCTTGAGGAAGATTGTTGCCAAGCTAACATCTGTGCTAATCTTCCTCTATTTTATGTGGAATGCCCCCAAAGCATGGCTTGAAGAGCGGTGCTAGGTCCACACCCAGCATCCGAAGCTGTGAACCCCGGGCTGCCAAAGCGAAGCGTGCGAACTTAACCACTACGTCGCTGGGCTGGCCCCCAAAATCCGCATTTTAAAGTCAAACAATAAGAGAATTTTAGATAATACATTGTTTGTGATTACTTTATTAAGTTTGTACAAATAATCATGAGCTAATTGTTTAATTACTTTTTTAAAGTAACTTTTCAGAATTAAGTTCACTGGTAAATCATTGTGAATATTTTATGAAATTGAGAGAGATATCACTACTTCAAATGCTTATAATTTGTCAGTAGGTTATTGAAAATGAATGACATGCTGATATATAACTTTCAAAATCTGAAGTGCATTGTATTTATAAAGTTAAGTAATTGCAGTTTAAATAGTCATTTAATTTCTTAAGCTGTATTCCATTTGTTACATCTGTTAGTTGCTTTGTAACCTACTGAGTCAAGGCAAAAGAACTTTTTATTTACCATGCTTACTATAGATCACACAACTAGTAATATCAGCCAAAAATTATCTTATTTCCAATGATCCAGTGAGTTTTAGTTCCAGGTAATTTTTGTCATTTTTAAGAATATGTCAAATAGTCTACTTTTCGACAAATAACTTTTTCATAACCCAGGCTTCTGAGATCTATTATGTGCTGGTATTATTAGGCGATACACCTGGCTTTGATTTGTTTCCAAATTTGTAGAGATTTGGAATGTCCAGGAAACACTGTCAATCTCTCTCACTAATCTTAGCTTTAATGATCTTAGAATGAAGCACATAAAAGTTACCTATAAAGTTGAAAATATGTTTATTATATGTAAAATGCCGTCATAATTAATGGGTCTTTTTATCTATAACTTTTTACAGATTATCCCTTAAATTCAGTAAAGATTGTGTGTTAATTGTTCTCACATAGATAATTGTTTTTTAATATAGGTAGAAGACTTTTTGAATCTTTCCACAAAACTGACTGGATTTCATATTTGTATTGACAAGGGGACTTTTGATGCCATAAGCCTTAATCCTGACAATGCACTTGAGAAGAGGAAACAATATGTGAAATCTCTCTCCCGGGTGTTGAAAGTGAAAGGCTTTTTTCTAATAACCTCATGTAATTGGACCAAGGAAGAGTTGCTAAATGAATTTAGTGAAGGTAAATGGCTATATCTTGTTCAAATGTTTAATACACTTAAATAGGTTTTTTTCCCTTGGTATTATAGTGTTTTAGTTTTCTATTTGTAGGACTTGCCTGCTTTTCTACTCTGTTAATAACCTTGGTAATATTTTAAACTGTATATGCAAAGGACAAAAAAATAATATTGGTTGAGATCCAGAGTCCTTTTAAAAATTTTCCAAGAAATCCTGGTAGTTAAATACTAAAATTTATGAGCCTGTAAAAATTAAGTTCTTTATTTAAGCTGTATAATCTATTATTTAAAGAATCAAACAAAGAAAGCACATATATTGTGCTTCTGACTTCAGTGCACTGATAAACTGGGAAGCGGTAGTAATAGTAATCAGTAATAATGCAAATGGAAGTAGTATTTTTTTAAAGTCTTACATGATGAGAGTTTTAATTTTATAGATACTTTATATGTCTTGCTAGTGGTGATTTTAGGTATTTAGATTTGTTTTCAGTGTATAAAGAACAATTATTTTTAACATTGCACAGAAACAAAATGTAGGGGCTTGATAGTAGAAATATTACCTGTTAATTCTTGAGGAGATCTCTACCTTTTTCAAGATTTTGGTCCAAGATAGGATTCTTTTTTGCCCCATGAACAAGGTATAATTAGTGCTGTGTCTACTAAGTGGAGATCTTGGGAGAATTGAGAATCTGTAATCTATACATAAATATTTTGAGTTCTTTGGCAGACTGTTTCCTGCATGTTTTTCAGGAATATTTTACCTGCCAATTTATTCATTCAGTGCACATGCATTTCCGGGAAAGTACCTTGAGAATCTATAGTTAGATATTTGCTTTTTTTCCTTAGAATCCTTTTCAGGTTAGGATTAAGTTTTTTCACAGGAATGTAGAAAATTTTCGGGATGAAGTATTAATAAATGATATGGTACTAAATTTGTAGTTAAATTTTGAACCTCAGTTGTCACAAGCTAATGGGAGATGGATTTATAATTGTATTGAACGCACTTTATGTTAGAGTTTGTTTTCTTTTTTGGTAATAAGGGAATAGGCAGTAGTGGGGAGAACACTTAGCACACGTCCTTGTGTGTGTACTCAGTGGCTTTGGCAGGTTATATAATGTAAAATCTGAGCTGTTTGAGGCTTGAAATGTCACCTTGTGGGTTCACTACTATTGCCTCTGGAAAACAGGAATTACATATATGTGATTTATTGTCTTTTATTTCATGCCATTAATTTTATTATCTTCCATGTTAAATTTGTTTCCTTTAGAGCTGGTGAGGCCCCGTATTAAAAGTCTTTCCCTCTTCCTGAGGCTTGACAGTTTTAATAAATGTCCAGAGTTACACTGTGTAGGGGCAAGTTCCTTTCCTGGTTTTCAAATACAGGTGTTCTCTTTTACCCCTGGAACCACCAGACAAAAACATATTTGTCTGTTTTTGATAATGAGGAACAGACTTTATCCTGGTAAAGAGTGCTTAAAAATGTGTCTGTGTCTGAGAACTACTGAGTACATTCTTAAACTTATGTTCAGTTTTAAAGGTTAATACAGAATTTAAATAAGCAAAATGTTAAAACAGGAAATGTTAAAGAAATGATTATATACTACTGAAGGCATGTTTTAGGCATATGTCTCTTAGAAAATAGTTTTTGGAGTTAGTTGCAGGACACTAACAGAGCACACTGCCATGCATCACTGCTGAAGGTCTTGTCACTAACTACCAGGATTGGCTTAGACGGTCCCTTTTGCATAGAATAAAGCTTACTTCACCAATCTTTTAAGGTTCTTTGCTTCTTTCCTTATTTGAAACTTAAATGTTCATAAAACTGTTGAAATGGATTTTCATTTTTCTTTTATAGCCCTACTTATAATAAACATTTCATGTTAGGAGATTTTGATTTCATATCCAAGGGACTTGACCTTCTTACAACTACTGAATTTAAAAAACAACAACAAAAAACCTATCTTACTAAAAGAAAAGGGGGACGGGAGAAAGGAGGAACGACTTACGCTGCAGTGATGCTGATGTCTCTCTCCTTCCTATCTTACTACGAAAGTAATCCATATTCATTAGGGAAAAAGTGGAAGAATATGAGTAACTTTAACACATAAGCACATAGACTAATATAATTAAAATCATTTGTTGTCTATGACTGGAATACAATCACTTTAAATATTTTGGTGTATTATCTCTTAAAGTACAGTATCTTCAATTCTGTAGGGTTAGTCCAGGGAGTTAAAAGATTAGTCCTGGAAAATTCACACAGACACTCCATTTTCTCTTGAAAATTTTTATTATGAAATAGTTTAAGCATATGTAAAATTTCAGAAAACAAATATGGGTATATACCCATGTACCCACCATAGTGGCTCCATTTTCCAGCATTAAAATATATCATGTTATTTAAAAGAAGGAGTTTTCTTATCATCAGTTTTTAATGAGCATTTCAATATTTAGCTATTTGTTAAGATCTAGTAAAGTTTAATTAAGAATATGAATTAGAATGTGTAATGAAGCAAAGTGTAAAAGACCAGTTGATACAATAATGTATATCCTTTTAAAATATTTTTTCTGTTTACGAGAGTTATTTGAGCTTAAGCTCAAGACATGGAAACTTGGAAAATGTAGACACCACACCAAAGGAAAAAAATCCCCCAAAACTAGGAGTCCTGTCACTGAGGGAAAACCAGTTAACTAAGAGTGACCTTCCAGCCTTATTTGTCTTATTTTTTAAAAGCAGAATAATTAAACATTAAATTTCCATTTTATTTTATGTTTTAGGAAAACGCCACATTATCTTATTTTGATCTTCACAAAATCACTGTGAGTTAGATAGGGGCATTCGTATCTGGAATCTCCTTGCATAGAAACTGAGGATCCTGGTTAAGGTAACTTGACCAGCGTATCTTTCACCGAGTAAGTGGTAGAGCTGGGACTTGAACTGAGGTCTTTTGAATCCAGGTTAATTTTTTTTAAAACCACACTGTGCCGCTTTGAAGGTTCCTACCTCCTTGTCTTCCCAGACCCTTCATTAGTTCAGTTTGGGTCTTGATCTTTGGTTGTGGACTGTTTTTTTATTGTGGTAAAATATATATACCATAAGGTTTACCATTTAACCATTTTTAAGTGTATGGTTTTGTGGCATTAAGTACATTCACATTGTTGTGCAATCATCACCGCCATCCATTTCCAGAAAAATTCATTTTTATTTGCATGTTATTTAACCTTTCTGAATTAAGTGCTTTTATATGTGTGATGTGGATTGAGTTACTATGTAAAGGACTCAGTGCCTGATACATGGTAAGAACTCAGCACAGGGTAGCTGTTTCTTACAGACAAGATGGTGAAGTAGGCTAAAGGAGATGCAGAGTTGAAGGGATGATAAACAGGAAGCTGAGGAAATGGGGGATGGATGGAAAGCCTCTTTTCTGCAATTTGTTTTTGGTCTTGGCTGTCTCTTGTTCAATTCAAAGTGTTTTTGGGTGTACACACATACGTATACAGTACAATTGAAAAATCATAAAATGAAATTCAGTCACAATTTAGAGTTTGGAATTACATAGTTTTATAATACTTTGAAAGTACATTGTTAATACAAATTTCCCTTAACTGTGGGATTCAATCCCTAATGAAAGTATTTTAATTTTGTCTGACAGGATTTCAACTTTTCGAAGAGCTGCCAACACCCAAGTTCAGCTTTGGAGGCAGATCTGGAAACAGTGTAGCAGCATTGGTTTTCCAAAAAACGTGAGACTGTTCATTGGACAAATTCAGTTAGCTTTTTTAAGAAGCTCTACATCAAAGTAAACCTGACACAGAAAATGCGAGTGCAAATAAATGCTTAGTAAGTACACAGGATGCATGTGTTGAATAGAAATGATGGGTTGGTAAAAAAATCATGAGTGTGTAAGTGGTTGGGTTTTAAAGATCAACCAAGAATAATTTAAAAATTTCTTTTGTGTTGGAAATGTAAATATTTTTCTTTTTTAGTAAAAAAAATTTCCTGTAACTGCTGAACAGTTAAAAACTTTAAAGCAGTAAATGAATTTACAGAAAGCATGTATTCTTGATTTTTGTGCCTTGGTAAAGTGAATTGAATATGGCTGTTTATTAAGATTTGACCAAAATATTTTAGAGTGAGAATAACAGATAAAACAACTTTCTTAGTGTTTTATTAGACTGTTTATGAAACATAATAATATTTTGGGTTGAATGGTGGTTTTTTTAAAAAAATTATTTAATATCTGAGAAAGTCTCCTAGCCTTTTGTATATAATTAAACAAATCAGATAAATATGTCACTTGATCAAGAAATATTTATTGTGCCTGTATTTTGCGACTTATTGGTCTTTTACACACTGTGAAGGATGAATAGGAAATAGAAGGAAAGACAGCTAAGAGATACTGTTATCTGCCAGCACTGTGTTAAGTTATATTATCTTACTAAGTCATTGAATCCTCCCAATAGTTTCTCGAGGTATGTGTGTATTATTCCTGTTTGTATGTATCAAACAGCCAGTACAGGATGGAACCAGGATTCTCCTCTGGTTCTCATTCTAAAACCCATTCTCTTCCCCTAGTATATTCTGCCTCCCAGGTGCTAAGTCTCTGCTTTTATGAGATTTACAGTTCAGTTGGGGAACTAGGACTGGTATGTAGAAAATACTGCTAAAGAAGTTGGGCAGTTATTTTTAGGAGCTCTGCAGCTCCTTGTTCGTGGCAGTGTTGATCTGTGGACTGTGAGAATAGTGAGTCATCCTTCATTACTTTTCACCATCTCCCTACTGGTCTTAAAAGACTTGCCTAATCAAGAAGTGAGTCGTGTCATTGTGAAAGGGTGGTGTGAGTTATATATATTTATAAGCCCTCAGGGATACAGGGACAAAGATATTTTAGTTAGGGCCTAATTAGTAAGAGAAACAGTTTGTTTATTAACATTTTGAAAAGATAAGGGATATTAATATTTAAGGTATATTTAAGGTAATTAATATTTAATACCATTTTGTATTTGGGCTGATATTTTAATATTGGGGTCAATCACTTTTTTTTTTAAAGTGATGTAATTTTTGATGATTTTCAGGTTTTTGGGCTTGTTGGCTTACTGAATGAACAATTTTTGTTTGGCAAATGTTACTCTTGTAGTCAGTCAGTCTAGCATTACGTCTTTTTTCTTTTCATTTTCGCCCAGGAGTGGGGGCGGGGGGAGGAGGATGGTTTGATTTACATCAACATTAATCAGTTTGTTAAGATTACTACCTGCCTTGCACAAGGTAACTGAAGACATTTCCATAAACTTTCAACACAAATAACATTTTTGAAAAGCTCTAATTTTTAACATTCGAAAAGTGAGAAATTACTTCAAAATATGTGTGATTTAAACTGTAAAAAAATTGTGTTGATTTTACAAACTAGACATGGGATCTTAAACCATGGAAACATATAAATAGTTTTATAATTTATTGAGGAGATCTGGTCTTTGTTGCTTTTTCACATTAATAGTCCTTGATTTCAAATATGAGAATAGTGTGTAAGTACTTGTTTAGAATTCTGAGTTGTTAAGTATATGCTATTTTAAAGCACCAATCTAACAAAATAGGCTTTTTGTGCGACCAGACTGAGACACTGGGTTTGAGTCACTGATGGCTTGGAGTGGGCCTTTGTTGAAAAGCTCCTTGAGTCACTATCATGGGGGTATTATGTGTGTTCCATTTGCAAAAATGAAGGATTTTTGGGGGGGAATCATTAGCTGTTGATAAGGTTAGGAAAAAGGAGTTGTTATCTCCTCTATTAGTCCTACTGGAAACCAGCCTCTTGGAGGCCAAAATTGAAACAAATGGAAGGTCCAAAAATGCGAACAATAAATTAATATTTTCAACTAATACTATGCTTTAAAAACAGGCCAGTAAATGTCCCCAAGTTACTGAAACAAGTTATAAATACATTATTATTAAACGTAGTTTTGTTAAGTCATATGAATATGTGGGTAACTGAAAGGAATTATGCAGTTATAAAAGGGAGCGGTAAGTATAGAATGAATGCTGTTTTCTCTGGATAAGAAGTTGGAATTGTAATTTTATTTCATCAAAAGACACTCTTATTTTGAGGAAACTTGTTTGAAATGCAAACGAGATTTCTCTGTGGAGCCTGCACAGTATTGTTGCTTTTCATTATGATGTTATTGCTGCATAACAGGCCACTTCTGTGTGTAGGAAGTGCGTATGCAAGTCCAAAGGGATTTGAGGCCTGAATGGGCGGGTTACACCAAGTAACAGATAGAAAGTTTTCAGAACATTTTGTTTTAAGCCAGGTGCACAAGTTAGAGTTGCTTTTTGGGACTGGCATTTATGCATATGAGAATCAAACCTGACACTACGCTTGGCAGCTTGACTAAAGCCATTTTAAAATAAGTACAAACTGTCCTTGAATGATTTTCTTCCCATTGTAGTAGCAACGACTTTGCCTTTCTTCTTCATCTGTGATGTGCATGTGATTTTCTATTTACTTTTGGGGAAGAAGGGAGGTAAACATATACAAAAAGACTTTGTATGAACTACGTGTTTCAATTCAGTTACTATTTATTTTTAAATTTCTATGATATTGTAATGCAGTATTATATGTTAACTTTAATTCACATTTATCCAGAGTATAATAGAAACCTTAATTTTTAAGGAACCTAAATTAATAATTGTTTTATATGGCTCTGAAATAATTTTTTTAGTTGATTTGCTAAGAAATAGGCAAGTAGACTATCTCTGCCTATGTTAATAGATTTTGTTTATGTTCTCTTAAATAAGTTTTATATATTTATGCATGTGTGTGTGTGTCTGGTAACCAACTATGGAAATATACACAAATGTGAAAAATCAGTTGCTCTCCAGGCCAGCATTCTACTGCTGTGGGGAGACCTGGGTTTGATTTCCTGTTTTTGGCACTGTGCTAGGGTGTATGTGCTCCAGAGACAGCCTTCTGTTTTGAGAGCAAGAGACCAAATGTCTTGTGTTCCACAGTAGTAACCTTTTTGGCTAATTGTGGGGGGGTGTTGATGGGCTCTGAAAGGAGTCTTGTCTAGTACACTTCGCTGAAGGAGGCTGCATATGACCCAGAGCTTTATTGTGGGAAGCCACGAGCATGGTAGGTTGAAGGACAATTGCAAAGTGGGAAAAAAATTAGGAAAGCCCTGTCATTTCTCTTGGTTAGGCAGGAAACAGAGATGTCCTTAGAAGAAGGGGGAGCACATGAGCATGTTTTATTAACAGTTAATGGAAGAAAATTAATGCTAATTTATTCTTCATACATACCGTGCAATTTGTTAGAAAAGTAAAAGGATAGTTTGAAATTCTTTGGTCAATTGATGGATTCCATGTTAAGGGCATAGAAATGAAACTCAACATTAAGCAGACAAATACCCAAGCCCACAGGCTACGTAAATGCTGAATAAAACCAGCTCTACAATGGAACTCTGAAAAGCAAGGGGTAAGAAGCCTAATGAATGATTGAATATGACCTTAGCAAAATCCCTGGAGTGTTGTTGAAAGATCATTCAGTTCCAGCTTAGATGTCAAGATGGGCTCCAGTAACCAGTAAAAAAAGAGAGCTTGAGTCGGTATTTACTGAGTTTTTAAAAATCTTTACAACACAGTACATTAGACTAATCATTAAAAAGACTTCTCTAACTGATTTTTGAGCTGTCACTGTTTGGACCTGTAGTTTAGGCCCAGGGAAACCAAATTAAAAATTTAGATAGGAATAATTCCCAAGACGTGAGTGTATCAATATCCTGCTTTATGGAGTAGGACTTCAAAAACTGGGATGTAGAGGCTGGCAGAATGTACTTTTGTCATGCTGATACCATTGTAAGAAAGACTTAGAACCAACGGATCAATTGTACCTTAAAGTATTTGCAAATTACTTGCCTAGTTTATTAGAAGATGATGTAAAAAACCAAAATCTACTTTTTTCACTTTTAAATAGCCTGTTCTGAAGAAATGCTAAATTCTTCTGTTATATTTTTAAATATATATTGCTGTTACTGCATCAGGAAATGATAAGTATGTTAGTGAGTGATCTTTATTGTGCATGCTATCCAGAAGCTTTTTAAGAAAAGCAAATCTAACCCATTTGTTTTTCCAAATACCTAAAAATTTATACGTGAACCAGCAATTAGCATATCCTGTATATTATCGGAGCAGCTTAGAAAGAAGTATGAAAATACTCTGGTTGAATAAGGGGACCATGAACTGTACTTCTCACTCTTCACTAACAGTTACAGATGCAGCAGTTTATTATCATCGGTGATTAGAGCAGAACAGAAGCGCTGTTGGGTGGCTGTAGTTCTCCTGCTATTGCCTTCCTTACCGCTTCAAAGACGGAATAGTCAGGAGGAAGAGGCTAAATGTAGACGAGAGTGGGTGCTGCCAGTTCACATTTTTCCCCTAACTCTTCCTCTAAAATGAAAATGTCAGTCCTTTGTTCCCATCTAATTTTAGTACATCCTGGCTAAAAAAACGTTAGGATGAAAAATGTTAGGATGATTTCCAACCATGGAACTTTGAAGGGTGGAGTGGGATGGGGGAAGAGTAGAGGAAAGAGCAGTTTACATTCCATATCCGTTTGCCTTTCTGCGACAGCATCTAGCCCTTACTCTGTTGATTTTGGTAATGAAATAAATTTAGATGCACTGAAGCAGCAATAATTAGGTTTTCCTGCCATATCCTCCGCGAAAAGCCTAGTTGGAGTCTGAATGGGGAAAATCATAATATGGTCTTTAATAGAACATACTCAGCTGAATTAAAGAGCTGTGTGCAAGTTTTGAAGAAAGGCCTGAAATTGTGAGTGAAAACTACATGTTATTTACAAATAGAACCTTTGAGGTCCATTTGTGAATCAGTGAAACTGCTTTTATGCTATTGTTTTTAATGAGAATAATATTTGTTGATTTTTGAGAAGCAGTCATAAGCAAGGCACACAAGTCAGAGCTGTTTATTCTCTCTGAAAACCCTAATAGGTCTAGAAGGAAAGTTCTGATTCCGTGAAGAGAGCCAGTTGGTCAAATCACTGATAATATAGTTTGTTCAAGAGATAGGACAGAATTCCATATGATTTTGTAGTTGGAAGTGCCAATTGTTGTGGTTATTATTTAATTAAAAAGTGATTAACTGGATTAAACTATGAGGGGAATTCCACATGCTGTAACTTACTGTGAAATAAGCCTGTCTTTTCCAAAGGTTTGTTCATGTAACAAGCAGAGGTTTCCTCTTGGAACCTCTGTATGATAAAGACATTATGTAACCAAAGTAAGAGAGATCATTTTGTTATTAAGTCTGTGTGATTAATGACTTAATTTGTGACAAATGCAATATCAGCTTATTTTCTGACCTTGAAATTTCATTTATTTTGGTTCCTTTCATTATAGTAATGGATAATTTGTGTTTAAAATCTGTTAGGTAAGAGAATAACTATCGAAGAGAAATAATTTTTTTAATAATACGTTTTGGAGAGAAAAATGATTGGAACCTAGGCCAATCACTTTCCTTTTCTAGGCTTTGTTTTTTTCCTCTGAAAATAAAGGCGTTCAGTAGGTGATACTTAAAAATTCTTCTCTATCCCTGTAGTAAGCTTGGCTGCCATAGACTGGGTGGCTTAAACAGCAGAAATTTATTTTTCACAGTCTGGAGACTGGGAATTCCAAGATCAAGGTGCTGGCAAGGTAGGTTTCATTCTGAGGCCTCTTCTCTTGGCTTGTAGGCAGCTGTCATCTCTCTGTATGTTCACTTGACCTCTTTTTGCATGCTTGTGGGGAGAGAGTGAGCGTGCGTGAGCATGTTCTCTAGTGTCTCTTGTTATAAAGGCACTAATCCCATCATGAGGACCCCACCCTCATGGCTTCATCTAACCCTCGTTACCTCCCAAAGGCCCATCTCCAAATACCATCACTAGGGGTTAGGGGTTCAACATATGAATTTTGGGGAGACACAAATGTTCAGTCCATAATAACCGCTGAAGTTGATTTAAGGGTTCAGAGAAAGGCCTACAAAATAGGTTTCTACTATATATGGGAAGTTTAAATACTTCATTAGTTAAATATCAATTGTTAGGTTACTTGATGGTTCTTTTAAACCAAGGTATCTATTCATGTATGTGAAAAAATATATGTACATATAATAAAACATTTGAAGCAATCGCATGAGTATTTTTCAATCTAAAAACATCTTTAGATTTGAGTATTGTCTCTGATATATATTTGATAATTCTGTTTGTATTCATTTGACCGTAGAGATGTTTTATCCAAGAAACTCAGAAAGTTACATCTAATTGTTTAGTCCACTTTGATTTTATTTATAGAAATATTGAGATCAAGATTGAGCATAAGCAAAATTGGGTAATCTGAAGGATCTCCCTAGTTTGATTCTTCCCTACTCTAAACACATAGAAACTACACACTCACAGATGACCTAATTTACCACTCTAAAGTCCCAGGGCTTTGAAACTTCTTTCTCATGCTACACAGAGACCCATGCTTGGGTATGGTACCTGCGTCTGCCCTTCTTTATGCCTTGTACCTCTCTGGGCTACTGTCAGTCTATAACTGTTTACCCCCTCAGTGAAATTGAAGTATGTTAAAGGTGCTAGCAAAGTGCCTAATGAGTAGTAGATACTTATTTAAAGTTGGTTTTTCTTCAGTACATTTCTCTGAAGCAGTTTCATATGGTGGAGAGAGAAGCACTTGTGACTCTACATAATAGGGTTGTGAATATTAAATAAGAAAAATAACTAATGCAGCTTAGCATGATTCCTAGCGTACAGCAATGCCAAATAAATATTCTTTTCTCCAAGGACCCTTCTTCCCATTGGAGCTAATGTATTGAATTGTTCAGGATTTTAATCCTCACTGCCACTGAGTTAATGTATTCAGTTCATTGTAAGGTGCTTGTATTCCAGGAGTGATTAGATGAGTGAAGAGAGGAGGATGAGTGGTAGATAAGTAAGAGGGAAAGTTCAGAACTTCTTAAAAAATCATACCGTGTAGCTCCTTTTTCCTTAGTCGCTAGATAGGGCTGGTGCTGAAGCACCTTTTCATTTAGTTAAGAAATGAGGACCATACACCAGATGCCAGATTTTCACAAAATGTCCTTTCTGATGCGTTTCAGCAGACTTTAAAATACCCCTCAGATTTAAGATAGTTATCTGTTAAAGTGGTAATTATTTAGTAATGTATGTCAGCGTGATGGGGAAAATATTAATGAGGGTGCCTTTGAATTGAAAACAAATGGTCACAGATATAGTGCACCTTCCTTCATTAGATCTGAATGCTGAGGCATTGTTTCCAGTGATATCAAAGAAGAGAACAGAGAGCAGGTGCCCCAATGACCATGCATTGGGTTTTAATGAAAGTTGTTGAGTTGGATTTGGGTCTTTTACTGGGTATTGAGGAAACAGTAGACTAAGATTTTACCATTGATTTCCACCTTGCCTCATCTAGATTTGATATCTTTCATCAGTGAGTCATGTTTGTTTTCCTTGCTATAAAGTTGAGTTAAAAGTGCCATTCACAGTGGCATTTTAAAGTTTGATGTTGGGTAATACTTTAAATAGTTGATCTGATTTGTCCTTAGTTTATACTAGAACTGACAGTATAGTATGTAAAGTACAGTGAATTAGTTGTTTATGCTAGTCTAAAAAAAATGTCTTTTTCAGATTTGTTGATTTAACCTTTTTATGGATGGTTAAGTGAATATCTATCCCAGTGCCTGGAGTGCTTAGTATGACTATAGAAATGCTGGCCAGAGCAGTCGCACTTTCTCTAGTTAACCTAGTTTCTCTAGTTTAAGTCTTTAACCATTTTCAAAAAGTTCTCCAGAGATGAGGTTAATATATGATATGATGTACATTCTTAGGACAGAACATAAAGCTTCATTACTTTATTTATTTAAAAGATTTTTATTTTTCCTTTTTCTCCCCAAAGCTCCCCAGTACATAATTGTGTATTTTTAGTTGTGGGTCCTTCTAGTTGTGGCATGTGGGATGCTGCCTCAGCATGGCTTGACAAGCGGTGCCATATCCGCATCCAGGATTCGAACTGGTGAAACCCTGGGCCGCTGAAGCAGAGCACGCGAACTTAACCACTCAGGTACGCGGCCCCTAAGCTTCACTACTTAAATTAGGTAGTTTACCAGTACAATGATTGAATAACCTGGTTTTGATCAAGGTTTTTGTTTTTTTGGTTCCTTATGAGAGTTAACAGGAGCTGTAAGTAGTATTTAAAATTGCAAGCCAAGTCCTCATTCATATCACTTCTTTTCTAGATTCAGGTCAGCTGCAGGATATGCACATACAAAACAGGCAAGGCTAGTCCCTCTTACAAATAGTGATAGGTATAATAAAACGAAACAGCCTTGCTTTTGATTAATATAGAAGATTGACAGACTGCTGAGGAGAGTTAAGAAATACACAGGCTAGTATAGTGTGTAGGGCGAATGTTCTTTTCATCCTGCTCCCAGGAATGTTCTGGCCATTGGAGCCAGAGACTAATTTTTTTTCTTGATATTTTAAATGTAAAGGATTCAGTCTTTAGATTTTAAACTCTGTGAAATCAGAAACTGTGTAGTTTCACAGTTTCCTCTCTCCCTAATGCAAATGAAATTTACTCAGTTTCATTTCTGTGGGGATAGTCAGGATAGCAGTAGCTTTGAGCATATCACTAGCGATGAGTTAAAAATAGATTTTTCTTGAGGCAGTGACTTATATGGCAGATAGTTGACAGAAGAGAAAAATTAAGTTAAATTTTGGGCTTGTGTCTCAGATACTAAATCTGAATTCCACTAAAGAATATTTAAGAAAAAAATTGAAATTTTCATTTCAAGATGAGAAACGTTGAGTCTTGGTGTGCTGTTGAAATATTTTCTAGATTAAATTCAATATAACAATATGAAATATTGTAATTTGGTTTTAGCTGTTTTTGGTGGAGTAACTAAGGCAAACTAGGTTATGGATGACTATGTTATAGTGATACTAATTAGAATCTACTTCAGCTAAGATCATAAATAGATGAGGGAAAAGCCAGGAATTAATTATGCTTTTGAATCTTAGTATTCAAATAGTAAAATAGGTTTGGTAAGTTTTACATATGCCAGTAACTTTGAATGTAGATAGTGAAAAGCCTTCATTCTACTTATTTTTGCTTATTTGCCATGCATAAACTTTTCATTGTCTATTTTTTCATGCTTGTGTTTTCTTATAGCACATAACACCAACAGCTACTATTAACTTTGTGGGAAAAAAACCACCAAAAACAAAGTAAACTCAAATTGAAATAAGTTTTAACTGTTGCTCTGTTCTTTTTAGCTTACTTTACCCAGAGCTCTTCCATCCAATGAGTTGCAAGCGTGACATTTGCTGTGTTTTCAGCACCTGCCAACTTGGAAACCAGGGTTTGTGCTCAGGACTTAGGCTTACAACCCGTACTTTGTGGTGCACAATGCCGTCCCAGCTGGCATGCTTCGTACCTCAATGGTGCTAGACGTTTGGTTACAAAGCTGTGCAGATTCACATGCACTAATTTCAATAGGCATTCCCCTTCAAGCTGCTTTCAACTCTCATTTTGTATCAAAGGAGTTAGATTGGTATCATTAAATTCACTGCTGTGGTTATTTTTCAATGAAAATAAATTTGTTTTATTTAGTCGTTGAATCAAAAAGTAACTTTGTCTTTAAGAACCAAAATACCTCTTTAAAAAGATGTGTGTGTATAGATATGGGAGATATCTATACACACACACACACACATATGTATATTTTTGTGTGTGTGTGTGTGTGTGTGTATATATCTCCAGCCAGGGCTATAAATCAATTTTCATCAGTGGAAAAGTTTCAGAACACAAGATAAAACGAACAGAAAGGAGAGAACAGAAGGATTAGTGTGTCATAACATGCTTATGTAGGTAGTGTAGGTAGGCTCATTAGCTGTAGCTGGATCATAGATGTGGGAACAATTATAGAACTTACTTTTCTGAATAAGATCCACATAAGAAAATTGTCCCCATAGTAGGTTCAGATTTTGGCTTCCATCTATAACCAAAAGCTTTCCGTGTTTTCCAAAAATATGTGTTTTACTAACTTGTTTCCAGTAGCCAATCTCTTTGAAAATGCTTCAGGTGGACTTGGTGATGCCTGTCGTTCCCACATCTATTATAAGCAATTTTAAAAGGTTCTGTTTTTTAAAAAGATCTTTTCAGATGTAGAAAGGACAGTGTGAAATGTGAATGACTGGCTTTTAATACAACAGTTGTGACAAAGAGGCAGTGGCTTTTGGAAGCTGAATAAAGGGGTTAACACACACATCTGCACACTGCTGTTGGGTGCAGTGTGTAACACGTTTGCTGTTTGTTTCACTCAGTTTGTTACTCTAAAAAGAATAATATGTTATTCTCAGAGACACTCTTTTATTATTTTTTAGTGGTGAGCTCTTTTTACAACCATAGGTACAGATAGGTTTGATGGGAAAAAGTAAACAACATTGACTGGTACTTGGTCAAACTTCAAAGCTTAACTCCTTGTTGTTTGATTATCACATTTATCTGGTTCTAAAGGCACAAAAAATAAAGAAAGAAAATACCCACTAACTACCTAGGACACTCCTTAGTGCGTATCAAAATCCAACCTTTACCCTCCTCTGCACAAATGTGCTTAGGTGAATACTTTTATTAGCTTGTTGATACAAGTATAGCTGGTTACACCCTTTCTTCATAAAATACACCCGTATTGTCTTCTGTTACTTAAGAGCTTTAAACTTGGAATGGGGGAGCTCTCTAGTATAGAGGGATACTCAGTTTAAATCTCCCAGGCAGTTTTGAGTAGACATACAATGCATACCACACACAGGCATTCCTCCATTTGGTGGTTCTGCTTTGAGGGGAGCCAGGAGAGCGCTGGCTTTTATCCCTGGGTTTCATATATTGATCTTGGAGTGAGACTGTACGTAATCTCTACATTTTATATTTACCAGGGCGTTCCATGGCTTAACCAGGTTACTGTTGGTTGATGATAATGGAAAAGTTACAAGTGGTCATTTTTGGATTATTTATGGATTTATTTCTAAATTGGCTTATGAATTTTTGTTTAGGTGTCTGGTTGTACTCTAATATGGTTTTGACCCTTTATGATAGAACAAAGGTAGACAGCTTAGCCCCCTTTCCCCCGATTGCAGTTTACATTGTTTTAAATCTAGAGTTCGATTCAGTTTATATTTACTGTTCTGAATTGAGCAAAACTCTTAATATACAACTTTTTGGAAAAGAATTTTTTATAATAAAGAATTGTGTGGTATAGCCCTAAAAAGTGGGAGTGTTATATATCTGTAGGACTTACTACATAATGTGGGAAGAACCTATAGTATCGAAGGTTAAGTGACAGGCCTTAATGTGTATATATTTTTAGCCTTTGAAGATTCAAATTAAGTAAATGAGACATAGCTATTCATTGGTTAGGAGCACAACTCCTTAAGCAGATATTTTAGTTCTGTACACTCTCAAGAAAGCATCAGAACCAGAAAAACAGGCTGCTTTAGGTTGGAAAGGAGGTGTTACAGCGAAGGAGCTTGCCATAGCTACAATCCTTGGAATTTTGTGAGAGTAAAATCATCCTGAAAGCAACAAGAATAATGGTTGCAATAATTGTTTCCAGACTCGAGACCCCTGCATTTTGTTTTTTAAGTTGACCCGATGAACCTAGTAATTGCAGGAATAAACTGAATGTTTGCCAGCAGGAGTCACTCTAGGCCTCCTAATAACAAGTAAATTAAACTATATCCTTAAAGCTTTCAAAGGCTGAGGTGACACTGTGATAAGATGGCATTAGGGAAGTGTAGCAGTATTCTTAAATTATCCCTTGTGCCTTTGCTTGTTCAACCTAGGAAGACTTGGTACTGCTCTGTTCAATATTGTCCCTTGATAATTTTTTTTAAAGCAGTGTTTATGGATAAGGCTATCAGTATCTTAGAATTCGGCATATTAGTTCATTTTGGCTTTCTTAGGACAAATTGATTATATCCCACATCATCTCCTTGAATGAAGAGAGTCACATCCTTCTCCTGATTGTTGTCCATCCTAATCTTGCAGCAGAAATCACTGGAGTGAGCTGTAGTGTGAAGGGAGATGTTAGCTCATCATTTTCTGAAAAAAGAATGGGTCCAGTGTGATGAGAGACAAATATTTCAGCAACAGCCGTGAAATATAATAGTTTTCCAAGTGCACACAAGCTCAAGAAGTTAATTGTTCATTTATGTTTGATACTAGGATTGAAACATTGGATTAAAACCAATTGAATGTTCCTAGAAGCAACAGAAAAAGTTTCCTGATTTATGAATAGAACCATTCAAATGGTGCAGACACAATCCATGTAAAGTAATGAGGTGTTTTGTTTTTTTGGCAAAGGAGAACACACAACAGGCATAGGGAGTTCTTTTTAAAAACCTCCTCTTTAAAAATCTCTTTTTGGATACAAGGTCAGTAAAATAACATACACAGTAGGAAGGAGTAATGGGAAATCTGGGGCTTCACTTCACAAGGAAAACAATCCCCCTCCCCCAGGTGAGCAGCACAATGAAAATACTCTGCTTATTCTGTCAGGGTTACATTCCTGAACTTAAGTCAACATCCTAAGTTACAGAACTAAACATGCTCTGCCTCTGCTTAGCAACCACAAATCCTTCCTTCACCAGTTGCATATATTTTGGATGTGGCTTCTGAAGTACACATTCCTTTATTTCGATTAGCGCCCCGAGTTAGGAAACTAGCGATTTATTTTCCCGAAGTGTGACAACACTAACACGGTTCCCCCTCCCAGGCCGCCCAGCACGCCACTGAAATGATCGTTTCTTTAAAACCTCAAAAACCCAACAACCCGGAAGCTGGACGTCTCAAGTCCACGCGGCCCAGGGTCTTCGTCCCGGCTTGTGCGGGGTGCGGGGTGAGACGCTCATGGGGCCGGGGCCCCTGGCCCAGGATCCGGGCGCCCCGGCGGCGGCCCAGCCTGGGGGCCACTTCCCGCGTCCCGGGGCCTCGCAGGCGCGAGCTTGGCGAGCGGCGCGCGGCTCGGCTCGCAGGACGCCCTCTAGCCCCGCCGGCGGCGCGCCGCGACCCCCCCACTCCCCGCCCACCGGCGGCCACGCGCACTGCACACTCGGCCGCTGCCGCCGCCGCCGCACGCCGCCCGGCTCCTGCACGCCGCCGCCGCCGCCGCCGCGCCGAGCTCCCGGGCCCGCGACGCCGCCCGCAGAGCGCCGGTTCCAGCGACACGCAGCCGCGGTCGGGCGGCCCCGCGGCGGCGGCGGGCGCGGCGGGCGCGGGCGGCCTGGCCGGGGCCGGTTAAAGGGACGAGTTGCAAACAGTTCAGGAAGTGACAAGTCGATTTCCTCCTCGCTGGGAGCCGCTCGGTACAAAGCGCTCGGCGCCGGCAGGAGAGCGTGCGCGCGGCGGACGCGCGGCGGGCAGCCCGGACGACTTGGCGAGCGCCGGCGGCGACGGCGCGGGGCCCGAGCCCGGAGCGCCCCGCCGCGCACAGTAAGCGACCCCGGGCCGGGCGGCGGCGGCGGCAGCGGCCGGGTGGCCGGTCCAGAGCGGAGGTCCCTGCTGTATGCGCCCCAGCCGCCGGCGGGAGGGAGCTCTGCACGCGTGTGTGCTGGGCTTGCCCTTTTTAAAATTTTTGTTTATTTTTTATGTTGCTAGTTTCCTTTTTTTCTGCCTTGTTTCGCAGTGGGTCGGGTGGTTCCTCGGGGCGCTGAGTGTCGCCTCTGGTGCGGGCGTGAGACTTGTCAGAGCGCAGCCTGGGGAACGAACCAGCCTGGCCCCTGCAGAAAAGTCTGCGCTTCCCGGGGCGGGCGCGGGGACGGCTGCGCCCGGGGGTGTCTTCCTCTCCGCGTCAACTTGAGCCCTGGCTCGCGGCGGCGGCGAAGGCGCCGAGCCCCGGGACCCGGGGTGTCCCGCTCGCCCCGAAGTTCCCGCATCATTTGCAGACAACTCTTTTGTTCGCGGAAGTTTGCGTCCACCACCCCCGGGATGCAGGCGCACAGCGGCGGGGTCCGCTGCTGCCTGACTGGCCGGGGCGGTCACGCTGGGGGTGAGGGGCGTTCGGTCCCTGGCGGGGGAAACCCGCGGGCTGGCTGCAACGGGGGCGTGCTTAATAGGGGGCTCCTACGCCGGCGTGGCTTTTGCACATGGCGAGAAGGGCCGTCCGGCACGGGCACACTGGTTGAGTCACATTTTTGCCAGTCTTTGATTTGCAAGCCCCTGGGAGTCGGCTTCCCCGTTCTGGGTTTCCCTTGGTGAGGTAAGGACACCCATAGTCCAGGGAGGGCCCTCAGTGTGCGTTGTCCCAAGTGGCTTCTCGGGCACCCCCCAGCTCCCCACCCCCGCCCGCAGACTTAGGGAACAATGCTCGTGGCGCGGGACAGGGCAGCGGAGCACCGGCGAGTCGCCCAAGCGGGGTTACTTGAATCCCTCGCCCCTGGACGCCCCCTGAAGCCGGGCTCCCTCCATCTGACCGCCGGGGTTCATTAGCACATACTGTACTTCGTAAGATGGTGAACAAAGAACAGCTCTTTGCAGCATTTGATGAATGGGATTCTGCCTCCTATAGGCCACACTCCGAGTCTTCCGTACGTTACAGTCTCCGGACTCGGTGGTA